CTAATGGAACACAATTTTCGCGGAAAAGCGGAACGAGGAATTAGAAATTATTAATTTTTAACGATATTTATTGATTAAAATACTTGCATTCAATGCAGAAGCTGAAAAGATAAGCATATTAATAAAAATTGCAATGCATTAGAAAAAAATATTTTTAAATTAATACAAAAGTGTATTTGTCACTAAACCATTCCGCTTTTCCGTGGAAATTATGTTCCATGTAATATTAGGAGATCAAAACGGAATCAAGGCGGAACAAAACGCGCGGAAACGCGGAAATTTAGTAAAATCTAGATAATTTTGTCTTCCGCTTTATATAATTATATACAATTCTATAATATAATTCTATAATAATATAATTATATAATACTCATTATATAATTTATAATAGAAAAATAATAATTGTGTTATATTAAAGGCAATAAGAGTAAAAAAAAGTAATAAACATTCGAAAACTAAATTATAATAAACATTACTAATGCTCATTTCCACCAATGCAGATTAACTTTAATCTCGGTTCAAAATTTACTCTTTGTCTTTTTCTAGTTATAAAAATTAGAAAAAGATAAACAGTATAAGTTAAACCGAGATTAAAGTTAATCTTTATTGGTGGAAATTAAAGTAAATACTAAATAATTTAACAGAACTAACAAAAATATACATATTGTCTAATAACTAAATATATACATAGTCATGTCTAATGACTATAGGTATCATATCACTGAATCATATAATCATTAGACAATATGTATATTCTTTTAGCTCTATTAAATTATATTTAGTATTTAGTAATGTTTATTATAATTTAGTTTTCGAATGTTTATTACTTTTTTGACTCTTATTACTTTTAATATCACACAATTGTTATTTTTTTAAGATTGAGAGTCCTTTATTTTCTTTATTTATTTTTATAATTAATATATAATATAAGAAATAATTCTTAATATTATTCAAAAACAAACATTTACGCCAATATTAAATTAATTATATGTATAAATATCAAATAATTAATTTATCAAGATTTTTGCGTCGTCTTACATAATTTTATTATTTTCTTTATATAATAAATTATTATACACTTTTCACATAAATTAGTTTGTGCTAAAGGAAATAATTAATTTCATCATTCTAACAGTATATTTATCACGATACAATTCTGTTGACAAGTTTGTTAGTTTCATTTTTTTCTCCCTTTGCGTTATGCATAATTTGCAGCTGTGGCACACTGTTAACTAAACAGTTAATTGGCATTAATGCTTCTCAAAATATCGAATTGAAGAGACTCTTCTGGCTGCTTACTATTTCAGCACTTGCGAGAATTTCGCAAATATCGATAGACATCTGATGGCGAGTCTACGTGGTAATATTCTTCTGAAATACACATATATCGCTTTATATAGAATCTTGATTTAATAACTTACACCGGCGTCTTGTTGGGTACAATAACGTAGGCTTCCACTACGTTACCTTACTGATGAGTCCAGTAGTGGAAGCCGGGACAAAACGCCAACTTGTGATATTCTTCGCAATATACTAAATTAATTTTTAAGAATTCGGTTGCGGCTGTTGAGGACTCTGTGAAGTCGAAACTTTCCGTATATACCGGTGTTATTATTATAATAAATTTATATATATTTCTAACAACTAGTATAGCTCAATTGTTCTTGACCTGGGAGGTATATTAAGTTTAATTTGAAAATTTATTTGATACTAAAATATTGATCTTTTATTGACATTAATTCCACAAAAAACATGTATACATTTGATATTTCACACACATACACACATTTATTTAAACATTTTATACCAGAAACGCGCTGAATGTGTGAATTAATCAGTCTTAAATAGATTTTAAGTATACAAAGATGAGTGATTTAGATTCGTTGTAACAAGTTCTTTCTTAGCAATAGCTAAAATAAACTCATTACTCATACCAGAAACGCTACAAAGTACATATATTAGCAGATGTCTAATTTAAATTAAGCATTAAAAATTAAGCACTCTAAATGATTACATTCTAAAACCACCCAGTCATATCGAAGATAATTTTAAACTGGTCAAATACACATCGGGACAATGATTTTGTTTTAATTTCCTTAGACGTAGTTTCATTGTTTATAAACATACCAATGGATCTTGCCATCAACAGTGTTCCTGAAAGGTGGAATTTTATTTCAAGGACACCTAAAAGAATTTTTAAATGCACTGAAGTTGGTCTTAGAATCAACTTTCACCTTTGATAGCAAGATTTACAAACAGAAATTTAAGATGCCCCGCCATGAGCTCGCATTGGAGAGACTTGAAACTGAGTTACTCTTCTTCTTTAGATATGTAGATGACATCGCTACTGCGGTATCTCACCACTTAATTAATAAATTTCTGGACATTTTTAACTCACTACATATCAGACTATAATTTAGAATATGCAGGAGATAGATTAAATTTTTTAGATGTCATAATCATTACTGTTAATGGAATAAAAGTTTAATTTATATCACAAACCAACTTTTTCGGTAAGGTATCTCAGTTTCTTGTCTGTTCACCCCCTTTCACAAAAAAGGGTGTTCTAATAAGCATGGTGGATACAGCATTCTTACTATCACATCCTAAATACCATAAAAAAATTTGAGGTTTATTATCGAAACCTTTCTGATTAACGAATATCCTATCCAGTTTATTTTTGACACTGTTAACTCTTGGCTAAGATCCTTATTAAAACTAAAGACACTTAAATAAACAGATTCCACAGAACCAAAGAATGATGAGAAAGAAAAAAAACAAATGAGTTATAATTCCATTTCTTCCTTGCCTTTACGGAAAATTTAAAAATATTACAAAAAAACATTACAAAAACAATAATGTTAAATTATCTTGATTC